TTTCCTCTCTTGATTTGTTAGTAAGATCCACTAAAAATTGTGATTTACGACTAATAATAAAGTAAGTATTAGTAAGATAATAGTACAGTATTGCTAATATTTTTTCTGTATTTAAATTATCAATAATAATAATTGATTCAAGTGAAATAAAACTCAGATTTTTTAAGCAAAGTGTTAATTAAAATACTTGTAATATGTGATTAATACTTATTAAAAGTGGTTAATCTACTTAATGGGATTGATGAGTATTATTGTATTGATAACATATCTTTTAACACATTGTTTTAATACACTTACTTTTATTGGTTAAAACTATAAAATCATAAATAAAAAAAATAGTCATTAAATATAATATAAAATTCACTAAATTTTATGTTTTTCAACAAAATTTAACCAGTTAAAAAAATGTATTAAAAATGTGCTCTTAATATTTCTTAATAGATAACACTTATTCTGTAGAATAGATGATTTAAGGGTATAATTTTAAGAGATATAATTGATTTATTTTTTAACATACACTCTTAATATTATAAATAGGCACAATCACTTATTATACTATTATATATCACATGCATTAGATCTCATCCAGTGTTATATAACTACAGAGATGTTCGTTGTTCCTCTGTTTATCTCAATTAAAATTCGAATTAAACCGAAGTAGTTTAAATTAATTGGTTTTAAATATTATTTTTCCCTAAATTTGAACCAACAAATTGAAATCAACCCGAACCGAAAATCTCGTGTAAATGTGGACCGTTTAGGAGTCGAGGTCGAACCACTATTTATTACATGGCGATATCATTCACAGAAAAAGTGGGAAGAGTAGACACAACACAAGACATAGAAAACCACATCATAGTATTGGCAGTGAAACCAATACGAGACGCTTGGCACCTCCGTCAACCAACGCGTTACGGTTTTGATGCTTCCTTTTTTTTCCTACTTAAATGTCCTATCTACGCACACAAGTTTGATTCACATGTCCTAGTCTCATTCTATACCTCGTCTCTGTTGGCGCAACTTCGCTTCACGCATGGATTGGTGGCATAAGATCAAGAAAACTTGGTCTGCACTCGTCACCCGTATCAAGCTTCGCAAATCTAGTGGGTCCACTCTTCCTCACCTTCTATCCTTTCTTTATTTTTATTTAACATCATAGCCATTGTTTTCATGTAATTTAATAAATTGTTATTATTTTCCTTTCGGGGGGTCAAGTTGGTCGTGCTGCGGAAAGCCCCAACAATTGTGACGGAATTAGTGATGGGATGTTGAAGCTTCGAGATGATGTGCAAATGTGTGGGTCCAAAGATGTTGAGGTGATGTGGAACATGTTGAGCTTAAGTCTACAACATGAGCAAATGGAAGCAACAACAGCCTCCAATGAAGCTAAATTTCGCAAGCGTAGTTGCAAGCAAAGATCAGTTTTGAAGGGTTTCGTTTTGGAGCAACCATAACAGCCAATAAATTAAATGGTAAATTTTTGCTGTGAAATGTGAATGTGAATGTGATTGTCTCCTACATGTATAATAATAATGACATAGTCAATGTAATAAATTAATTATGAAAATAGTAATATAAGTTAATGTTGAGTTCCTTTGCACCGCCCATAATTGTTGTTTTGGTACGTTATATGATAAAGGTAATTGTTCTTTTTGTCCCTGTACGCGCAAATAAGGAAAAGAAAAGATGCATCTCCCATGAACCTCGAAAGATACTTGGGCACACAGTATTTCGTTTCGACTTTTCTTTATTAACAGAAATAAAAATGGCTTTATATTATCCTATTAGGCATTTCATTCATGTATCCCTCTCCCAAACTTTCAACTTCGAAAAGTTATAGACATTTCATTCATGTTAGAAAAATTATAATCATAAATGAAAAGTTTTTATCGTTCCAACTTTGAAATACACACTATAATATACTTTTACAAATATATGATATTTTTTTATCTATGTAACAAAATATAAAATAACTTGAAAATTTTGTAAGAATTTATAAATTTAATCTATTTAATAAAAGTTTTTAATTTAATGATTAAATTATTAAAATTTAATATATACTGTGAACTATAAAGAGAAATAATTATATTTTTAGAGTAACGTGATTCACATCCTAATAATAATAATGATATTATTATTATTATGTGATATGATAAAAATTGGAAAAAAGAAACGATATTTAAGGGATATGATATGCGTTAGATTAATGCCATTAATAATTAAAAAATATAAGTAATAATAAATTTCAAATCGTCAAAGATAATGCTATAAAATATTTAGCAACGATTAGGGAGGGAAAGGAAGTAATTATATAAACTTTATCCCAGATTTTCAGGGGTAGCTGAATTTAACAAGGTTTGAACAAAAAAAAAAGTCAAAGAAAGGAAGCGTTGCATTGGCAACACCGCAACAGGACTCGACGAGCACATGTAATGACATTAGTAGTAGTAAGTCAGATTACTTTCGTACAACTTGAACTAGGAATTTGCCACTTACCATAGAGGCAAGTCTTTTGCCGAAATGCCATTTTAAAATGCTTTATTAAAATAAAATTTCACTTAAAGCATCCACTAACTCACTAGTTTCAATTCTTTGCACACAACTCCCAAAGCAACATGCCGAGCCAAGCAATTGTTACCAAAATTTACTCATTGAGATAATTAATTTAAAAAAGAAAAAAGCAAAGATAATATATTAATTGGCTTGGTTAAGTGATAAAGCAAAATAACATTAACTAATGTAATTAAGGATCAATTCTTGCTAATCACCATTTTAACATGTTTTACTAAAATAAAATTTTACTTGGTGCCTACCAATCCACCAACCTCAACTCCTTGCACAAAAGAAACTAGAATATAAAAAATAAAGTAGCTAATACAAGACAAGCTTTATTAGTACAAAAAAAAGTACAAAAGTGAATTGCATATGAGAATATGGTCATTCTAGAAGGAAAAAAAGGTTAGGTTGGTGGGTGTTGACATTTAGTTAAATTGCATTCTAATGTTTCCTTTGTTATCCAATATGTGTTTTCTCAAGTTGTTTCTTTGATAACCATTTGTTGCAAGAACCATTTTTCACACAAAAAACTTGAATGATAACACTCATTAATTTCTCATTTTTAATTAATATTAAATGACAATCTTAAGTGAAATCCACAAATGTTTATTGTTTTTAGTATCATGTTCACAATTTAGGCTAATGGGCCGGTTCTTATCTATTGTGGTCCATAATGAGTAAATGGGGGAAGCTAAAGGATATTGGGCCTAAGGAGTGAAGTTTGGCGGCGCTGAGAAGAGAGGATTTGGCATTGCAGAGTGTAAGAGGGGAAGTTGAAATCAGCGATGGCGTACATGAGCATGGGAGAAGCGCACAGAAGGATCACGGAGTTTCTGAATCGCTTCTCCGACGCCGTTTCATCCCAAGACGGACCTTCCTTCAAGTCCCTCTTCGCTCTCTCTTCCAATTCCCCATTCCTTCTCTCTCTCGCCGACGCTCTCAACCTCTTCCAAGACGCCACCAGACTCATCAACCAATCCGATAACTATTCTCACTTCGCCGACATCCTCCTTCCTCTC